GGAAAGGAAAGGAAAGGAAAGGAAAGGAAAGGAAAGGAAAGGAAAGGAAAGAAATGGAAACTCTGACTCACTGAAAGTTCTGTTTCTGAAGTGGCGCTTCTTTTCAGTATTGCCAAAACCAGTCCAAAAAAATAATACATGATCTTCCATATAGGTTTGCTTTCTGGAACCCAGGATACCTCTTCTAATCCAATCCAATCAACATATTATCATGCTTTGGATTGCTGTACACAGTTGTGCAGATTGTGTACTGAACAAAGGTACCTGAGAAAGGAGTGCTAAAACCCTGCCCATGCTCCCTTGGAACTGTGCACTCTGGCATCAGTCTGCTTCTGTCTGAAGGATGACGTTTCTTTTTCTCTGCACAAAGGTGCTATCCACCTTCCCAGGCTGTGCACTGACCCAAAGGGGTGGGGATGAGAAACAGCAATTTTTCCTGATTTTTTTATTAATGCCATAGAGACTAGCAGTGGCCCTGGAGGGCTGTAGCCCTTCTGCCTGCAACCTAGTGGGAACCCCAATATTAAATAAATAACTAGGACATTAAATAACTAGGAATTAAAAGATAATTTCTTAAATTTAAACAGTAGTATAAGCAGTAATCTGGGGTGGTCAAAGGAGGTCTATTAAAGGTGTGGGATTTAAGCTGAGTCTTAACTGATAAGTAAGATTTATATAGGTGTATATAGGACCTTTTAGTCAATAAACATTTATTAAGGACCTATTATGTGTAAAGTACTAAGCAGGGCACTAAGAATACAAAATAAAGTTTGACCTGTATCCTTAAAATGGTAACTGACACAGAAACTTATAAAGACATACATTATGTGATGAGCGCTGTGTGCAAGACTAAAACTGCAAAAGGAACTCAGAGGAAAGAAAGACTGGCAGTTTGAATAGAGTCACATTCGTCTAAGTTGTGCAGAAAATGGTTGGCCACACCAAACAGCAACTAGGCACCATTCCAAAATGGGGTTCAGAAATGTGCAGAAATATTTTTAAAATCGATTCTAAAATATGTTCACCAAGTCAAGAAAGCTCTATTGGCCTCTACAGTTGCCAGTCTCCTTTAATTTTCTTCTTCATCCACCTGTTCTCAGCACTTTCCTGATTGCAAACTATTTCATTACACTTCACAAACATAAACATTTACAAAGTGCTCCTTCTGTGTCATTAGTACATACATTTCCAAATAATTGTAGGAACTCACTCTGATATTCTTTCGCTCTGGAACCTGGCAATCATACCAGTGACATGCTAGAAAGGGAGTTTCTGGGGATATTAGTAGCATTCTGACTTTCAAACATTTCTGAGATTTGTACACTATGGGTCTCCTTGCCTAGTAACATGATCACAATCTGTCACCAAGACACACAAAATACACTCAACTTAGAAAACTTTTCTTCTCTGGAAGTCCATTTGATCCATGGTATAAAGAACTAATTTATTCCTAAAGTCTACTCTAACTGCTGTATGGAATGGAACGTGCTTCAGGAAAACCTTTCCCTAAAAAAAAATTAACTGCCCAAATATCCATTACCCACACATCACTTATATTTTCATACACTTATATTTTCGTGAATTATGATCAAAGTTTTACAAAGATAAAATTTAAATTATTCTTGTTCCTAACCAGACTAAGAACCAAGAATGTAGCCCCAAGTTCACATAATCACATCACATGAATTATTCTCTGTTCTCTGTAACTCAGCATCATAAGACCATCCCATCTGAGTGCTTCTTGTACTGATACGGATGTAAATGACTGAAACTGTCCTGGTAGGTGGTTTGTAAGAACTGTAATTTACTTTTGATAGGTGTCATCTGTCTTCTTTACTATGCATTAATTATCATCACATTCCATCAAATAAAAATAAATTAAAATCAAAGCAAATTCCTCAAATGAGTGTACTAAGATTTTCTTGGCATCTTTGACCTCAAGAGATAGATCTTGACCTTTATTAAGAACATTTTAACTGTGTCTGTGGGAGAACATTTCCGCAAACAGCTCAACAGCCATAATTAGGGGTTAAGGTAACACTGGGGCAAAGAATCTCTGGCTACAAACTGGAATAATACAAACTACTCTTATGGGGGGTGTTGTCCACATGCAATCACTTGAAACTCTGAAAAGGACAAAATGAACATGATCATCTGGGATAAGGCTGTTACTCAATCTAGCAGTTTTCAAACTGTGTGTTCTGGGCATCCACAGGCTTCTGGGCCCCCTCCCTGCTTCAACTAGAGCAGGCCAGGTTTTATCAGCTCTATAAAGTATAATTCCATACAATATGTATTTGTAAGCAGTATAACATTTCTTATTGGTTTGGAGACCATTGCCTTACTTAAAATAACCATCATGTGATACTTACCTAGCACAATCAACCTTATTTAAATTTTGTTTAAAATTCAAAGATATTTAGATTCCAGTAGTATTAGTTCTAGCATCCTTTTAAAAAAGGCAAAAGTTCTTTTTACTTGCTCTCATTTTAATTGTGATGTAAGAGAAAGAAGTCTCAGACAATACAGAGTTCCCATTCTTCTCACCATTTTAGGCACAAATCCCCAATAAGTAATTATTAAACAAATAGTTTACACAGGTAGATTAGATATATAGGGAGAACAGTTTTCTTCAGGAAGAAAAGGAGAAACTCAAACTCTTTGGAATTAATACCTAACACTTCCTGCGTAAGACATGGATGGGGTGCTAGCTAAGTCCTCTCCAAAATTTACACATCTCTCATTTGCTTTTTCTCAGGCTCAGGATCCAGGATTATAATTCTTTCATGCAAATTCAAAGGGTTTTTTTCCCATATGCTAAAACATAAATATTTATCATTTTGTTAAAGTTGACAAAAATTCAAGTTAGATCAGTGAATTTTGGGCATCGTATTATTGGAACAAGTAGTTTTGTACTAAACTTAGGTATCTGGAACCGGGGAGGTTCTCAGAAGACAGAAGAGGTACTGGGTGGGCAAAGCAATAAGTGCTGACCACACCACTTAAGACTAACATCGAATTAGTTTAAGACACAATAGCAATCTCTTGTTTTGCCCCTCATTTCAATTAATCCCACCAAAAAAAATTTTGGAGCATTTTCTGTACACTGTCATTGGGATGAATAAAAAAATGGCTTCAAGGAAGGAGCCTTTTATTTCAAAGACACAAGATGTACACCCATTAATCAAATAAGTAATAGTTAGACATCACGTGATAAGATCTCTGTACAACTGCTAGACATACAGTGTAGGTAAGCAGAGTGCTGCATGATTCTGAAGAAAGAGAGCTCTCTGAGGGTGAGGATGGGGGAAGGACAGAGATTTTCACAGAGAAGGAAGAACCTACTCTAGAACGTGTAGGATAAACAGGATTTAGATACATAAAACTGGCTTTGGAAGGGGGTTACAAAGGGTGCAATGAAGGAAAACACCAGATTTATTCAGGTAACGCAGTGAGAAAAAAAAACATTTCTCTTTACTATGTTCACTATTAATATTCATAAGATTTCAAAGTAGTTAGAGATTTAGGAAATTATTGATTAAGAACATCTTTATGTTTCCTGATATCAGAAAAAGGCCTTAAGGGAGAAATGGCTTCTAGATGGAGTCAGCAGCGGAAAAGAACAGGAAGAGATGAAGAAGCAGAATCAACAAGACCAGCACCAGATCCAGGTTCTAGAACAAAGCATCCTCAGGTACAGCCCTCACTGACCTACTCCATAACTCCCTTTATTTTGACTTTGCCCATGTTGCATGTATAAGATCCATCCTTATTTTTAAGGGCATAATCACATCTTCATTTGGATTTCTAATAAAGACTAAGGCAACACCAGAAGATGACAGAAATTTCACTGTAAATGCCACCTACACATAGCAACACATGATTTATTTTTTAAATACATATTGGTGACTTACCCAAAGCTCTCCAAGCCTATTTCCTCATCTACAAAATGGTAGTAACAATATCTATCTTTTACACTTGTTGAGCAAATTAAAAATATATGTGCTAAGCTACTAGCACCAACTGGCACATAAGGGGTAGTCAAAAAACAGTCCTTATTCACAGCCCCAACCCCTACTCTCACCTTAGAACAGGTGACAGTTCTCTGGATGTGTTTACACTGTGTGTCCATCACCCTTCTCCCGGGCTCTCCCCAGTCACAACCATGTTTTGGAAGAGAAGACACTGTAGGAATACTTCACTAGCATTTTCTCTCTTCTACCTTCCCAATTATTGGGTCCCAGATGTTGACTTCACTTCTCAATGTCCTTCCCTGCCCATCACCCACAATCAGTACCAAGTCAGAAACTTGTGATATAACAAGTAAAGCTTTTAAATTGCCTTGGCTTAAAAAGTGATGAACATGAAAAAAATATATATATTGAAAAGCTTGAATGGAAGATGGGGTTATTAGTATTATCACAAAATATAGATAGCATGAAAGAAAGAGATGTGGGAAATGTCAGAATCATTTTCTAACCTACACACAGAAAAAAGATGGAATTTCTTGTGGTATAATAATGACAATAATTTAAAGCCTATGGATCTTTGAAATAAATATAGGTAGCTTTCAAAATCTCACTCACTGTGAATTTGTCCTCTTTAGTGAGAACTATAGGAAAGACCTGAAAGGTAAAAATATACACTAGCTGTACAACTACATTTTGCCCATCCTCACCACACTATACAGACAGACTGCATTAGGCCTTCAAATTGACAGCATGGAAAAAAGCTTCCTTTTTTTAACTGTTTCTCACGTTACTTGCCTAATTTCACACGTTTGTACATTTAATAGCTAAAATCACTGACTACTCATCCTTATTCAGATTTTTTTTAAATTAACAATTCTTTAAAAGTTATATTGTAATCATTGAAGTGTTTATATTTATAAACCCCTCGGTTGTTTGCTCAAAGATGTGAAGTGTTTCTGAATGGTAGATAACAATTCCTTAAAAATAACTCAATAAATCAACTCTACAGTTGGGAAAACTTGATCCTTTGTCAGGCGTCCCTTAGCAAGAGCTTCTTACCAAAGTCTGGCTTAGCTGATGATTACTTTCTCATCCTTAGCACAGAACCCTTATCTCTGAAGGAGTTCTGAATTTAATCCCTGCATACCCTGCGCTCTGCAGACATATCCCTGCTTCTCTTCAGAGCCCCCTCTTATTTAAGAGTCTTTGCCCATACTGAATACCTACAACTTTTTCTGCACTTGATGGTAACTGAAGTGGCTAACAGACTCAGACGCCATTAACAAGTTTGGGCAGCACTGTAAGTAATCCCAGAGAATTTACTAGGGTTCTACTGATTGCTTTCAGACCTTGCCTGAATGCTCTGAGAAGCACATAAGTTTCTAGTGGTACCGACCATGGCTTCCCTAGTTAGAGTTCCTATCTGACCAAAAAAAAAAAAAAAAAAAAAAAAAAAAAAAAAAAAGGAGGAGGAAGAGGAGCAGGAAGAAGAAGACAAACCATATTTACCAGCCATATTACCTGCCAGGTACTTTACAGATTATCATCCCATCCAACCTTCATAACCCTGTGATGCATTGTCATTATCTTCACTTTTGGCACATAAGGGGTAAAGAATTCACATAATTACAAAGTGGTGGATCAGAAACTCATGACTACCCTATGCTACCTATAAAGTGATGCCACACAGCATTTTAGACCACACACTATGGTCCAAAAACCTATTATCTCTTACAGGAAGTCTTTAAAACATGTTCTGACCCTTGGTTCTCCTTTCTCCAAAGAGCTCCTAGCACTCTCCGGATCTTCTTTCATGTTGCTCTCACATTACACAATTCTGGCATCTTCTGATGAGTTTTTTTTTTTTCCTGTTTTAATTGAAGTACTGTTGACGTATAATGTTACATTAGTTTCAGGTATACAAAATAGTGATTCGACAGTTCTATACATTACACAATGCTCACCACAACATGTACAGTCACCACCTGTCACCGTACAATGTCACTGCAATATTATTGAATGGATTCCCTATGCTGTGCTTTCATCCCCGTGACTTCACTACAACTTTGTTTTAGATCTTCAGGATGTCATTAACCATAAGTGCTCCTTTATTAGCACCAAATGATTTTAACCCCCAAATATAAATAACAGGAATGATTTATTTTTAAATGGCCTTGTGCCATTGACAAAGCACTTGCACTTCCATTAAGTCATTTCATTCTCACAGCAATCCTAGAAGGAAAGCATTAACACCTCCATTGCATAGAGGAGGAAATAGGCTCAGAGAGGATAAGGGACTTAATTAAGGTCACAGAGCCATTAAAGGTAAACTTGGGCCTCAAAGTAAGTCCCATTCAGTGCTCTCCTGCTATAAAACTAAAGGAGAGCTGTGGGTGTACATGTTCTGGAAATAGTAAAACATCTAATACCTCGTAGCAAGTTCCTTTGTTTAAGGAATGGTCCTAAAAAAAAATGTATTTGCAAAGAGTTCATATCGTGAATTTGCATTGTTGTGATGCACGAAGGCTGTTTATCTCGTTTAAAATGTGCAGGGAACAGAATGTTCTGAAGCAACATACAGAGACAAAATAATATCTGTGCCTTGTCTGTATTAAACAGCCTCCACTACTGCCCAGCATTAAAGAAATCATGTCGCCAAAGCAGCTTTACCTGATAACTGAACATTTTCTTCTCAGATATTTCTACAACTGCTAAATAATCAGGTGCATGTTTTTAAATTCAGTGTTTCTCCAAAACAGCTACCCGCAGTGCTTAAGAAGCTTTTATTACCAGCTAAAGAAAGTACATTTTCCCGTTAGCTCCAAGAGGCAACCAAGTCAAAGGATGGAATTGAACTAGACAGAGCCACCCTTCTTCCCTAAGCAGGGAAAGCATCCCAAACCCTGAATGACTGTTTATCACTTGACTTAGGTGCCTGCTCAAGGGTGACATTTGCCACCTGCCAGGCCTCTCAGCTAGAGGATAAGATTTTAACGGGAACATCAAAATAGAAACGCTGCTGTTACCTCAGAGTCTGCAGCAGGGCCAGACTGCTCCTGAAGTTTTCATTCCTACTACTCCTCCCAGTCTTCTGAGAGGAACTGAAAGAGCATGGCCTTTGGCATTCAAATCCCTGCTCTGTCAACCACAGTACCTATAAGCCTGACATGTTCTCTCATCTCTTTGGGCCTCAGTTTCCTTGTCTGTAATAGTGGGACAATTATAGTGACTTCACAGGACTTCATGAGTGATCAGCTTGGAGAGTACCTGACACATGGTGGGTGTTCAAAAAATATTAGACCCTAGTCCTTATTAGGAGTCAAAAATAATTAGAAGAAGGACACTGCCTGGAATTTTATCTGGGGATTTTTATCTCTTGGCCAAGATGTCTCATTTCTTTATGCCAGTACAAAGAATCTTTTCCTTTGAGTAAACTGAGATTACCACGCAATTAGAATTCTTTCCATTTGGAAATAATGGATGGGTTTTCTTTATGACTTGAAGACTAAAACACTCACAATACTGGTTAATTTTTACAGAGCATGTGTTATAGACCAGGCACTGTGTTCAACATTTCATATAGATTATCTCACTGAATTCTCACAACCATGCTATGAGGTAGATTAACACTTAATAGGTGAGAAAAATGACATTTGTAGATGCTAACTTGCCCCATCGCATACAGCTAAAAAATTAGGACTCAGGATTTAAAATCTAATTAAATGTCTTAATCACAAAAATAAATTATGCCTCAGATCCTGTAGAAAATTTTTATAAAAGTTAAATCCTATAAATGCTACCCTTTTACAGCACTTTTAATTTCCAACCCATGTAATGATTTCACTCTCTTATATGCATAGATACTCATATGACTCTCTGCCATATTAAAAACTCAAAGCTTCCCTGACTCACACATAACCTTTAAGTAAAACATGTCTGCTTATTCATCCTCTCATCTTTTCTTTCAGAACAGCAACGTTTCAGAAAATAAGTAGGTTTCCATGGTTTTTGTCTCTGAGTCACATTCTTAGCTTTGGAACAATATTAGTGGGTATTTTGCCTGTGCCTTAGGAGGAAATGTTCCCAGGAGTAAAATGATACTGAACATCTCCTTCTGAATCGCTTTGCTTAAATAGAGTTTCAATTTGCCTCCCAAATGAGCCTTGTTCTTACTGTGACCACTGAACCATTTACTACCTGATTGTAGGCACAGGTGCAAATCCAGCACCGACCTCTCAGTCCAGACACCCATGTGTACAAATTTATAGGCTGGCTTAGAATTCCTGTTTTGTCACGTCTGTTGCTTTCCTCCATCCAATAGCCAACACCCATAATGAGCGCCCCCTCCAAACACCCTCAGAAGCATCCAAAGGAGCTGTGTCGTTCACATTCTAGATTCCTCTTTCCTATGTGGCTTCCCAGCTGTCCTCCCTCTGCCAAAATGCCTTGCATCAAGTTGCCCTCCAGAGGCTTGCTACTTTTTGAACTATGTCCAAAGACCTCTGACTTTAATTGGAGCACACAGAGTGCCTGACAGAAATGTCATAAGCATAAAATGCAAAAGGTTAACTGCCAGGGAGAATGATGTAAATGCACTGCCTCCCTTTGAGAAGGATTATCTACTTATGATTAAATGTTCTCTAGTAAGGATTTTTTTTTAATATTCCAAAGTACCCTTCTGACCCTCTGCCTTTCTTTAATGAGCTTTAATTTGTCTCCAAAT